ATTATTTTTTAAAATTTTCTTCTATATAAAAAAATTATCACTTTTGTGAGTGTTTTTATTACATTTATGAAAATTTTTACCACTGTTGTGGTATCTATTTTTATAATTTTTTAAGTACCACAACAGCGGTAAAAATATTATCAAATATAATAAAAATAACCACAAATGTTATAAACAAAGGTATAGTACCGAAATTTTATTTTTCGGTACCCCAGCTAAGTCTTCAAGTATATATTTTGTTTCATTTTAGTCCACCGTTCTTTTAATTATTAAATGGTCTTTCAATTAATGTGTTGCCCCATTGATCAAAAATAAATTTTATATCAATTGACTTTTGGTCCAGTGATACTCCTTCACTCGTAAAGACATTGCCTTATTGAGGTCAAGGGTTCAAATTTCTCTCCTTTTTGTCCTTCCCCTTCGAAACAAAAAAGTAATGTGTTGTTATTTTGTTCCAACGGAAAAAAGTGGTTCAAGTTGACTAACAAGTCGTTCAAGTGCCCCCTCATGTGACCACACTTGAGAGGGGTCACTTTGCTCCTTCAAGTTTAAATGTGTTATGTTACTCTAGTTTCTTGATTTTCAAATAATGCGCTTCAAGTGTGGGTATGTGACTATCTGTTAAACAATTACTTATTTCAAAAGTTTAAATTATTACAAAGAATATAATTTAAGTGTTTATATTTTAACACGCTACCTCATGTGCATGTTAGATTTTAGGCCAAACAAGTGAATATATTTTTAATAATTAAGGTGATGACGAGATTCGAATACATGACTTCTTACTTAAATACTATATTAAACAACTATCTACTCTAGAAACTTAAGCTATTATTGATTGCTACACAAATATGTGGTGAAACTTGATTTAGAGAGCCTATCGGCCTTGTTTGCTACCTTAACAATATGTTTGGTAAGAAAGGAAAATAAAAAAGATGAAATTTTCTTTCTAAATTACTAAAATCAATCATTCTAAAATTAGGAGGAAAAGTGAATGAAAAGTTAATTATATGTGTTAAAATGTATGTTATTTGTCTATACATATTTTGATATATATATATATATATCATATTTATCAATTACATATTATGTATATATTAATTTCATATATAGATATAATACTAAAATATGTATTTATATTTTTTCTATAAAAAAATTAAAAATTAAAACAAATATAAATATAAAAAAAATACTTTTTCCATCTTATGAAACACAAAAAAAATCAATCCTTTCTAATTTTTGTCCCTCTTGCCAAACAAAAGAAGGAAAAAAAAGATTCCTTTTTTGAAAGATGAAAATTATATCACACATACTTTTCGTCTTATTTAATTGTATCAAGTGTCCTGATAATAATCCGACCTACACACAGACCAGTACATCGGGAGAGAGAGAGACATCGGCACACTATTTGCCATAAATACAGACACATACAAACAAGGGAGAAACCGACAGAGAGAGAGAGTACCTCGGCAATGGAGACCAGATTTGTACAGTTCCAAAATGGGGGACCAGTGATACGGAGGGGAAAGTGATAACCTTACCAAATTCTTTACGGGGGTGTTTATGTAAATAACATTCCTACCCTCTCAGTTGTATTGCATTCCCAAAGTTTTGGTGGGTTTAATTTAGGAAAAATTCGAATGGGATACAACAAATTATAGTTAATGGTCAAAAAGTACACAAAAAAAATGTAGGATAAATTTTTTTTTAATTTTGATACTTATTTGTTTCTAAGTACATTATTTGGAATTTTTATATTTTGTTCTGACCTTTATATCCCCTCTTGATTCATGCATATTTTTTTTTTGAAAGTGGTTTTGTTTTTAAATTATATTTAATGCACCTTGATTCATGTGTATTTTTTTTTTTTTGAAAAATGATTTTGTTTTCAAATTATATTAATATCCGAACTACAAAACAATATAATAATAATAGTGTAACAAGACAATTACACAAAATATTGTACTATTAGATTTTGTCAAACATATATTTTATATAATTTTATTCAAAACAGTTCATCTCTATTTTGAATTTGTTACCACATGCACAAAATTATTGAACACTATTTTTGTTACAGTGCATTGTTACACTGTCTTGGTACAGTGTATTGTTACTCTGTTTTTGTTGTACGGATATTAACAAATGTTGAATTCAAACAAAATGGTGTATTCTAAAATAAACAAAATATTAAAGTTCTCCAATAAAATTAGGAGATATGTAATACATAAATATAATTTGAAAATAATATCACTTTTCCTAAAAAAAAAAACGTATGAATCAATGTGCATTAGAAAATTTCGAATTAAATGACCCTAAATTTTAGATAAATGTCTTGTTACAATTTTTAGGAAAGAAAATTTTAAAAAATAGACACTTGTGTCTTTGTATATCAGCTGTGTATTTTTTTTCAAAATATTTTATTTTGTGTATTTTTTTATAATTATGTCTAACTTAATGTATTGACTTTCAAAAGACCCTTTAATTTATCCATTTATCCACTTCAGATGGGATAACTGATTCCAAAAGCTACGGACCAATTCTTTGAAGCCCAACGATTATCTAATTCAACTTTTGTTATCCTAGTTTACCCATCAGGCCAAACACACCCATTCGGTTAATCCATATAACCCCTTAACCAAAAATCCTAAGACTTGATTTTCTATTGACCAAAGCTAACAATCATATCGTTTTTCCATAAACTGCAAATCCACTAAAATCTCATCCTAGTAAAAACAGTACAAACTTCTTTTATTTTATACGGATTCTCGTCGATATACTTGATCATAAATGATAAAAATTTAACATTTTATTCGCACAAAACTGGTTAAACGTGCTAATTATATTAATTTAGATTATTTGTATTTGACATTAATTCGATATATTCCTTTTTCCATGTTAACAGGTTATATTATCTTCGAGTTCATGTTGACAAGTAGTTAACTCTAACTCATTAATTTCGTATCAGATTCATATCGTATCAATGTGTCGTATTCAAAATTGTGACCATCAAGTAGTGTTGATCGTAAGTCAAATCTCATTCTTTAGACGGCTTGAGGCATATCAGCTTGAATACGCTGGTAAATTGTTTATTTTTGCTAGTAGCTAGGGAAGGGAAAGTAGGTACGGAATTCGGTATCATACCAAAAAATTGAAAAAAATGACGACGAATTAAGATCACATTACAAACCACATAGTTCTAACTTACAATTCAAAGACGTTTTAAAAAGTTGAGATCAATCTTAAGTTTGTGAGATCAATGCCAATTGACCTCATTGAATCGTTACTTCATAATTTTAGATGCACAAAGTAACTTAAGTGTCAGAGTGTTATCCATTCTCACTACTCTCTTTTTTTTTTCCCTCTATAATAGTTATGTTAAATAAAGAAGATTATATACTATCGACAATAGGTGTAACTTGTTTGATCATTTTTATCTGAGAAAGAGGCGAAATATAATCAACTTGAATTCGAGACCACTATTTAGAAGAAAATGTGAAAACAATTTAGTATTTGTCTCCAAGACAACCAATGTATTGGAGCAGATTTTTGAGGGTTTTTTTCAACAAAATAATCCATCAAAACACACACAAATGTTTGCGAATAGAGCTAGTATAATATAAAGGAAACCCCCTGCACTTTTTTTCCACCTTATGGTATGAATATACAAGTTCTCATTGTATGTCAATTTTTGGGAGTTTTTCTCCAAACCCAGTCTCTCCACCATATTTATTCTCACACCAAGCCTGTTTTAAACTTATTTCTCAAATTTAATTTTTTTTAAAAAATATTATTTGAAATGACGCCTTCATGGATTAAAACGTCATTTCAAATGACGTTTTAAAACTGAATTTTTTTTATTAAAAACTTCATTCAAAATGAATTTTCAAACGACAACCTAACGGATGTTAAAAAAATTGATGGGTAAAAACGTCATTTTCAATGACGTTTTATGCGCCTTATAGTCACACCCCAAATTTCTCAAATCACAAAACCTTGTCTAAACTAAACTCATCGATTTACCCATACTCTCCACTCCACACCTTCGACGATGATCAGTCTGATGCAGGCTTTTACCGTCGACGAAGACCACTTTGGCATAGGAGTCTACCTCCGATGAAGACACTCCACCGACGAAGAACCACTCCTCTGACAAAAGATTTGATGTGGGAGAAGGAGTTCACAAAGCTGTGGAATCTCTCTTTGTTTCTGTTCATGTCCTTTGACGACTACTAAACACTACTCCGACGTATGAAGTTGAATATATACAAATATCAAGAGTCAATATATGATTATTGGATAACCTTATGAGAAAAATAATAACTCGCTTAAAAGGTCTCGTTGGTACAATGCTCTCTCTTATAGCGGATTCTTGAGAAAGACAATTGGTAGACAATCGCCTCCCAAGTCTAGAGAGGTTTTTTAAGACGGGTAAAAAACTCATGACATAACACGCACTTGCCACCTTTTCAAGTCCGATATGTAAAAATCATTATTCCACAACAAACTAATATTATTTGTATTTAATTTGGAAAATGAATTGTTGTCACCGGATTGACAATGAAACTTATTCAATACTCTCACCTATTGCTAATCGAATGACGAGAGTACATTAGGTCTCTTCATTAGTCCCAAAGTTGGTCCCCTTTTACATTACTCTTTAGTGAAAGAAAACCAACATATGGAAGAGAGAACGGAAACACTTCTCTATTTTATTCAAGGCAAAGTACATCTTACATAGCACAACCAAAACACAGCTGAAAATCATATTATGCCATAACTAGCACACATAGTTATACATCTTATCATAGCACAAGTGGTAATCTAATACATGTGTCTCCTATGATTGTGAAATCAGAAGATCGTCATGCAACAAAACCTAATGAACTTATTATGTGTGTAGAGATAATATCTCCACGACTCTTACTAAGGCATAACTAGCACATATTTCATGACAAGACTTGGGAAAATATGACTTTTGACACCAATCATATACAAAAAGTTCAAACAAAGAGAAGGGATTTCATGCCAAAGTTAAGCTCCCATAGACAAAAAGTTCCCTTGACGAAATCATTGTATCCACCCATCAACTGTAAAGTTTTGTTTGCTAGCCCGGCTCGCACATATGGATAAGTCAGTAGGTTTATCAGAGACAAGTTCACAACCTCCTGCATTTGGATTATAGACAGATATTCTTAACCTCAACTGTCCTCCTTTTAAAGCAAATATGCAACTTAGTTCGGTTACGATATTAAAAAATAATTATTTATAGTCTTATTTATCTAATATAAATATGACATGTATGAATTCTTTTATTTGATTATTTTTCATCACTTTATCATCTTTTCAATCGTTACAAATCATTCAAATTGAAATCTATAGATGTGATCAATTCTAATACAATACCGATGACGACAACATAGTTATATCCGTTTAAGAAAAGCCTTACACAAGTTATGAGTAATTGCTTTACTGATAGATCAATTTTGTGTACAATTAGATAGCCTTTTTTTTTTAAAAAAAAAGAACTTTTGTGTTTTTTAAAGTATTTTTGTTTTCTTTGTCGGGTTTGCTCATTTTTTCTAAGCTCAATCATGTATATGTTAGAACATATAACTAATTTTTATACCAAAACGGAAATAAATGATCATTTTTTTCAAATAATAATCAAAAAAGTTTTTTTTTCCTTTTTTAACTTAAATAAAAGTACAAGAAACAATCGTCATTAAAACATCGTGACCAAAGAAAAGTCAAATGTACAAACTCTAATTTTGTTGCAAAAAAAAAAGCTATTTTTCATAACTCAACTCCATGACGTGCATGTCACAGTTGGAAAAAATTTATCTTCAAAAGTCGTAACAATCATCCTCAGCAATGTGTACTGTTCTTTTCTTTCATATATTTTTGTGATGACAAGAAGAAAATACTCACCCTTTCACAGATCTCAAGCTTTTCCTCTTCTGCTAAATGGCCAAACTCAGCCTTGACCTTAGCCTTTGCAGGTAAACCAATTTTAACCCAATCATCTATGAAGTCACTGCACATCACAATTTAATAAAAGTTGAAAAGTAGCAAAAACATTAAATTAGATTATGTGAATAAATGTTTCTTTGTGTTGATTAAAGCCTCCTCACTAAGAAGTTGTTCCATCATCAGGAAGAGTCATAAGGTGATTGCAAAATGACCTTAAGTTCTGAGACAGCATATTCAATGACTTGTGTAAGATCTGATTGAATGAAGGACCCAAGTTGGCAATGTTCTGGGTCATGAATTCAGATCATTACTGGGTGGTTTAAAATTGTGGTTTTTTTTGACAAGATATAGGAAAAGATGGTATTGGCAAAAGCCTTACCTTGGGTCTCTGACCGTCGGCAAGTTCACTGTAATAATCTGGAAACTTGCTGCAAAAATGGTATAAACACATGACCAGACAATAGGGAAACCATTTAGTCATCGGAAAATATTTTTAAAAAAAGTTTTTTTTTTGCAATTTTGCCCTTTTGATGGATAGCAATTACAGTTTTATTCAAAATTTTCGTAACCAAATTGCTACAAAATATTTGTAATTTATATAACTAACAATAATCTGTCTCTGAAAATATGGTACAACATAAAATTCTCGAGTGTCCATAATTATTTTTTTCATTCCCTTTATTTAATTTCCACCCATTATTTTTTAAAAACAAAAATCGATAAATTTTTCTTAAAATACGTGACCTTAAAAAAATATTAATATGTGCACACTATTGTTAGCATACTCGAATTCATCGGTCTTGAATTGAAAGAATCCATCATTAATCTTCTTAATCGTTTGAAATGCAGCCGGCTATATTTTCCTCTCGAGCTCAGCCTCATCTATGTCTCCGTTGTCTTTTTTCTTTCTGTCACTTCAAGAAAAAATGAAATCGCCGATGTTTAGAAATGCCGGGAATTGTCAGTCGAACGCTGAGAATAATCTTTCCCGATGATTAGACTATTGCAATTTAAACATTGTCTCTGAAATTGCCCACTTTCTCACGTTGCAATTTAAACTATTGGTTTGTATTTATCACTGCCTCTGTTATTAACTTCTGCCACATTTCTATCTATTGTTGCCTTGATTTGAAGTGAAAGATTGAACAAAAATTAATGATTGGGTCAATACGAAACTCAAACCAAGTAACAGATCTAATGTGAGAAAGTCGATAATTCAGGGGCGATGTGAAACGATGTATATGGTTCATTATTTTAAATGTAACTTGTCCTTAAAATTTTATGTATTATGGTACATAAATTTATTTGAAGGGACTTAAACTTAAGACACGCGGGTTTACATCTAACCTTTTTTTTTTTTGACTGCTGGACAAACCCATACATGTATGTGTTGAATTATTCTGATTAAAAGTAAACATTTATTGAATTATTTTGCTTTTATTAAAACGTAGTATAAACCATTGGAACTAAATGATTTGCGCTGTTGTTGTGTTTTTCTATGTGAGGAGGTTAAGCAGTTCGAGAGTTTGTTTTATTATTATAGGTGTGATATTTTCAACATTTTCACTACAAAAGCACATGAATTGAAAACCAACCAATCTTCTTAACAATGGTACTTGGAAACAACTAACTTTCTACGTTGGCGTAACTATTTCAACTAACATTCTCCCTTTTTTTGGTAATTAACTTCTACAACCTAGGATCTGGTATACGACAACAAAGTTAACAAATAAATAAATAAATAAAAATAAACAAATGTGAAAAAAAAATTAAAAAAAATCAGCACCCAAAAACACAAGTTTGTGTGGAAAACTCAAAGATCATAAAAAAAAAATATTGCGGAGTAACACCAAATTTACTAAGAAACGAGCAAAATACAAGGAAAAAAATATAAAAAGGATGTTGTTCTATGTGCTTGTTATATTAAACAATTGCAAAAGCATCATTTTCCAAATGTGATTTAAATTTTCACCGAGGCGGGGTGTTACGTGGAACGCCCACATTTTGATCCATGACAGATTACTTTGGACGTACAATACTATTAATCTTCAAACAATCTAAATCTTTGAGAGCAATGCTACATGAACTTTAATTTTTAATTGTGTGTGCGTGAGAGAGAGAGAGAGATATTGTCATTGCCAATTTCTACTGTTCACACTTCGTCTAGTCTGAAACTACCATTCAAGCTCCCGTGTTACTAAATCATGTTTTGTGTTTTCGTCGTGCGAGGTGTTTTTAGTTTAATTACGGAAATAATCACACAAATTATATGTGTTAATATGTCTTTGTCATTGTTTTGTATCACTCAATAAATGGGTACATATAGCTGGTTCTTTGATTCTGAAAGATCATTAATAAAGATAGAATTATAGGATTGGGTTGCTATCACTTTCTAGTTTTGATCAAATAGAGACATGTACACTAAAATCATTGGGCTCCACAGGGGGTAATCGTAAATGATACATGATTCGATGCATTTAATTTTAGATGATTCAATTTGGTGGAAGTGTCCAAATAAAGGATTACAAACTTTTCTATCATGTTATGCAAGTACAACAAATCAAGTAATTGGATCATGATTGATATTTTTTTGGCAATTCTCCGTATCGAAATTTGAATCCACTGGATCATGATTCATGAATTTGGATTTAGATTTGAATTTAACAATATCCGATTCAATTTTAGCTCAATCTGAATTTTGTATAAATGCAAATGTATAATATACTTTAGGGATTATTTGATAAAATTACATTAAAATTTAGATATAATTTATTTAAATTATATCCTAATTAAGTTAATCTGATAACACCACATTTTTATAATGCGAAGTTTTTCAACCACATTTTTATGAATTAATGATTGGAACACCAAATTGCGGTGCATATATTCATTCGTAAACACGAAATTCGGGAAATGTATGTATATCTGTGTCTCATTTCTTATTATTCGACTACTAAACTAATTTGTGCATTTCAGACAATCCCATTTGGATGTTCTACTTGAGATGAAATAATGAAATTCACCGACTAATTCGGCTAGAAAAAAATGGATGGGAGGGGATAGTTAAATCCCATCGAATCTAATATTTAGACCAACCCCAGCTGGAATTCAATTGATTTAGGGTTTCATAGTTTCTATGGTATTAAAGTCGACGGATATATCTTTACCAAATCCCAACTCTCTCTCTCTCTCTCTCCAACTAATTCATAGAATTTCTCTGTCTCTTGTCTTCAACCAATGCTTGGTTTTGTTTATGTCTGCTAACTACTATAGTAATTTGGAGAATGCCAACAAGCAAGAAGATCTAGAATTACTCCCACTTCTGTATTGCAAGTCCCTAAGTAATTGCACAGTAAGACCCTTGTTTATATCTCCAATGTAAGCGAATCAAATTCTATGTAAGTGACAAATTATGGGTCACGAAGAAATCAACATATGAAAGAGAGCATGCCAGAGCTTCTCTATTTTATTCAAGGTAAAATACATCTTATCATGGCATAACCAGCACTATTTGAACAATCTTACCATAACATAACTAGTACATAGCTGAACATCTTATTATGGCGTAGAAGAAAGTTTGATACACGAGTCTTCTATTTGTGCAGAGTTTAGAGAACGTAAATGTACGAAAGTCCAACTTACTTTGCGAGCAGAGATACAAATTCCATGATTCTTATTTGACACCAATCATGGTGTAAAACTCAAACAAAGATAAAGGGTTTGATGCCGAAATTGTGCCCCCAGAGGGAAAAAGTCCCCTTGACAAAATCGTAGTATCCACCCATAAGTAGCAAAGTTTTGTTCGCCAACCCATCTCGCACATATGGATAAGTAAGTAGGTTTTCCAGAGACAAGTTCACAGACTCCTGCAATCAGATTATTGATAGATATTCTCAGCCTCAACTTACTTCTCTTCTTTCAAAGCAAATAATGCAACTTACTTCTCTCATGACGTCACTATGTTTTAAGTCTCATATATCGAGTAAGTCAGTCGCAAGTAGCAGCCTCATTAAAACATTATCGACCATTTAATTTCATTTTTTATCTACCATTTAAAAACGTTTTTAAAGTATATAACAAAATTACTTTTATTTTCTTAAGTAGAAGTACTTGAAAAACATTACCAAACTTTATATCATTTTTTTATTTCACAATAAATATATACTAGTTATTGTCTTTGCCTGAAGGCACATAGTAATAAAAAATGATAAACAATAAACATATTTGTATTCATATCCAAATTAAAATCACAAACATAGAAAAGAGGTAAATGAATTTAAACATCGGTTTGTAGTGGGGGTGAGAGATGGTGCGCGACAGTGATGGTGGTAAGAAACGGTAATGGTTGTGCTGGGTGGCAATGACAGTGGCGGCTACAATGGTGGTGGTGATGGTGGCGGTGGCAACGGTGGTGGTGGTGGCGGCGGTGATGGCATTGGTGGTGATGGTGGTAACGGTAGTGGTTGTAGTGGCGGGGACAACGGTGGTGAGGGTAGTGGCGGGGGCGATGGTGGTGGGGGTGGTGATGATAAAGATAGTGGTGAGGCGGTTTTAAACACTATTCTTTTTAAAATATTTATAAAAAATAATTTTTAAAAGTACTTTTAAAAAGTCACTCCAAATACAACTTTAAGGAACCTATTTTTTTGATTAAATTTAGAGTATTAATATTAGCCGTTGGATTAACTTTAAAGTAAAATTTAAAATGATCTCAACCGCGAATTGTAAAAATCATTTTGTTTATCTTTTGAGATTTAAATTGTAAACTACTTTATTATTATTATTATTATTTATATATATATATATATATATATATTTTGTGACAACAGAAAGGAAAAGGACTCTCACCCTTTCACAAATGGCACGCTGTTCCTCATCTGATAAATTCCCAAACTCAGCCTTCACCTTGGCTTTGGCAGGCAAACCGATTTTAACCCAATCATGAATGAAGTCACTGCACATCATTATTAAATACAAGTACAACATATTACTAGTCTTCTAATATTAAAATACAAAAATTTAAAATGTTAAATTACACTAATGGCCCCTAAAGTTTGTCACTCGTGTCAATTTTGTTCCTAACATTATAATTTTCTCACTATCATCATCATCATCAGAGATTTACATGTTGCACCAATGAGTAGCTGACAAAGGGCCATGGATGGAAATTCGGTATACGCATGTGTAGCACACGTGCTATGCACATGGATTGTTTTGTCTCTAAATTAAACAATTATTAGGGTGAAGGATCAAATTGGTCCTACCTGAGAACGAGAATGAAATTGAAAAAAATTAAATTTTAAGAACCAAGGTGACACTGATAAAAAAATTTGAAAAAAAAAAAACCTTAGGGACCATTGGATAAATGTTCATTGATATTTATCAGAAAAGTGATAAGCTTCCAAGCCACTATGTGTGAATTAAAGCCTTACTAAGAAGTTGTTCCATCCTCAGGAAGAGACATTAGAGCCTTTATTCCCCCACATCGACTGTACTGTGTCCAATCACCAAAATAATTTCAACCTATGGAATTTTCCCATTGTTTAAGACCCTCGTATGAAAGAGAAAACAAATAGAATGGAGAAGAAAATGTTATATATATTAGAATTTAGAGGAGTGCAAAATGACCTTGAGTTCTGCAACTGCATATTCAATGACAGCTCCAACTCCAGAATACCTAACCTGAAGTCAACTAAAATATCATTACAATGTTTCTATTAGGATTAGTGTCAATCAAGTCGTGTTGTACCATATTTATTTAGTATTATTTTTTGGTCGATTTATCTATAAATCGTATCTTTTTGAGCTTATGTCGTGTGAATTATCTTAGTGTAATATGTAATCTCGAAATTACACGACGAGGACTCTATTTTCTCCCAACAAATATCCACAACATTTAGGTTATTCTAAGTTAAAAAAAATCTAAATCATGATCACTAGCCTAGCAAAACCAAATATAAAAAAAAACTATTTAATTCTATAACAACTCAGAAGTTACAAAAACCCAATATTTATGTATACAAAACAAGTTAAACATGTTACCTGTGTTTGACGATGATCTGACCTACTTATGACTCGTGTTAATTTGTTGGATCATTTATGGGTTGTGTCATGTCTAACTATACTTTGTTATCGTAACATGTTGAAAATTGACAATCTTAAAGTATATGATGGTGGGGAGACTAAAATATTTGTTCCTAAGATAAAAATAATTTCACACAATTTGAAGACCTGGTTGAAAGGAGGAACCAAGTTAGCAATGTTCCGGGCCATGAAGGCTTCACCTGGCCGAAAGCTTAGGATATTAGATGGACATACTCGTGAATCTGAGCATGTAAACACCAGAAACTGCAATAGAGAAATTAGCCACAAAATTCGTAAGTTAATTAAAGTAATTTTTTTTTGGGGTAATGGGAGAAATCTCTAGCTTCTCTCCGACGAGTAGAAGCGTACTTATGTCACTGAGGCTCATGAGTCCGGATAGAGCCGAGGGCCTCCGGGTGCATGAACTAGTCCCTCAACTCATGCACCAGTTAAATTAGGACTTGCGTTTCGGTGAAGATTCGAACACACACTAGAAACTTTGATACAATTCATCCAAACAATTGAAGTTCGTCCTACCAACCAGTTACACCTTTTTCGCTTAGGGTACTTGAATTCTTGACCTCAAGAAGACAAAATTTTTACAAAATAAAAAGTATCATTGTATTAAAAGCCCATAGTCTAACAATAAGGGCAATGTTTGATCCCATAGTCTAACAATAAGGGCGATTAAGCCAACCTCCTAACATCACAAAAGAAATAATAGTTGTGAGACACAAAAGCCATACCATACCTTTGGGTTCTGTCCCTCGGCTAGTTTAGTGTAATAGTCTGGAAACTTGCTGCAAAAGAGGTCCAAATCACCAGAGAATTGGAAAAACCATTTAAGAAACATATCTTAACAGAGTTAGGATGCAATTCAATCACCTTACTCTAGGTTGAGAGGTCACTCTGGATTCTACTCAAGCCCAAGTACTATCTCAATTTAAATTGGGTTAAACATTTTTCTAATTATTCGCACCAAATATTTTAATTTGAATTGCAGTTGACCTACTCAAATTGCACCTCTACTGGGAGTGCAATTTTTCCTTTTTTCGTACCATCCCCTTAGGAGTGATGTTCTGTCAATTTTTAGAAATAATTTAATGTGATTGGGAACTAATTTGAAAATCTAATTTGAGGACCTAATTTTTTAAGACTTAAAATTAATTACAAGCAATAATATTATTTTTAAAAACTCATATCAGGTTTGAATAATGGAATCCTGAAATGAAGTCCGCTTGGCAAATTAGATTTTGGGGACATTCAATACATCTTTTTCCATAGGAGGATGTATATACATTGAAGAATAATATATTTTATTTTATTTTTGGTTGTTAGGACACAACAAGTAGATTAAATAAACACAGCATACTCGAATTCATTGGTCTTGAACTGTTTGAATCCATCCTTAATCTGCTTAATCGCTTCACTTGCTCCTGGTGAATCGTTTATTATCTTCTCGAGCTCGGCCTCATCTATCTCATCCTGGACTTTTTCCTCTCTGCAAAACCATGGCAATTTCATCATTTGTTAGTAAACATATATTAATTACATGATTTGTCGACTTAGTAAACTAAATCAAAAAATTATGTTTAATGGGTATTATTGATCATAAAAATGTTTATGTCATTTCATTCAATTTAAAATAAATTGACGAGAAGTGAAGTAGCCTTCATTTAGAGTATGTGGTGGTTCAATATAGTATAAGAGTAGAAGTTATATCTTGTATTTGAATCTTGCTAATATCCTAGTTGTTGAAAAATTTTCACGTGCACGACTTAAATTACGCTCTCTAATTACTAAAATTTTTAGAATAGATTGCGATTTAACAGAGCCTTACAAGCACAAGCGAATAATATTAATGTGGGTCCGGGTGTTAAAAACTATGGGATACGAGGTGGAGGTTATGGTTGTCAGAAGTGAAATCAGGCAAAAAGCTGTTCAACTAGAAAACAGATACCACACCCTTACGGAGTAAGGATGGGCATCCAAGGGACAGAAATATCAAGCTCAGGTCTATGAATTATATAGGGGCGTACCCGGTGCATAAGATTTTCGTTATTGCGAGATTTGAGAACGATTAGATATACACAGTCTTATTTTTACAAATAGAGAGATTATTTCACGTTTCAAACCCGTGACCAACAAGTTACGATAAAATAACTTTATCGTTCAAATTTCTAAATTATATCTAATTTTAAAATTCTGAGAATTGTACAGAACTGGTGGTCTGGCAAAGTATAATAAACCTTGTCATTCCAGCAACAGCTACCTCACTTGACCGCTCTGCCATATGTGCACTGTGGAGACAACTGAAGATGAGAAGATTTCTACACAATTTGCACTTGAACTTAAAATGAGTGTAGAGAGAGAGAGAGATTATATCAATAGGAACAATATAAAATCAAAACTCGATGATGGTTGAGCTAAACAACATACCGTCTATAAGGATCTTGATTTCAATGACTTGATTCCGAGTCTTTATTTTCAAATGCCACAACGCGTGGTTGCTTCCTTTATGGCTATACGTATTTATCGGCCCAGGGGCGGAGCTGTTCATGGTCCAGTGTTGGAAAGTGCCCCTAAATTTTTTATTTATTTTTATTATTTAGGTATGTATATATTTTATAATGTCTCACTTGTGCTGCCCAAAATTAAAATCAAAAACAAAAACACTAGGTCCACACAAAACAATAAAAAAAAAACAGAACACTAGGTCCACACAAAACAAAAAAAAAAAAAACAGCTTGCCCCACTCAAAACAAAAAAAAAAAAAAAGGTTGGGCCAGTAGCCAGTAGCCACCACCCATTTCCTATGATCCTATCCTGTTTTCTCTCTTTCTCTATTATGCCCAACCAGCGACAAAGAAAACCTGAGAGCAGCCTCTCTTTTTCTTCCTCTTCTTTTTCATTGCACCCACCATTGACAACACAAGCCCACACATTTTTTTTCTCTTCCAGCCTTCCATAGTTCTAGTAATATCCCTCTCTCTCTCTCTCTCTCTCTCTCTCTCTCGCTATCTATATATATATATATATCACTCTCTCTCTCTTAATCAACACAAACAGCACTACACTGCAATGCACACACAACGCACACACCCCATTTCCTATCCTCTTCTCTCTCTCTCTCTCTCTCTCTCTCACCCAGCGACTCCTTTTCTCTCCCTCTTCTTTGTCGTTGTACCCACCGCTGACAACACAGGCCCACAATTTGTTTTTCTCTTCCAGCCTTCCTGAGACGTTCCAGGTAAAACCAAACGGCTTTATATTTCAACTAACATTCTCCCTTTTTTTTTTTTTGGAACTAACTTCTATAACCTAGGATCTGGTATGCGACAGATAACAAAGTTAAAAAAAAAAAAAAATCAACATGCAAGAACATAAGTTTGCATGGAAAACTCAAAAATCATAACAGACAACTATGGAGTAAGATCAAATCAAATTTATTATAAAACGAGGAAATACAGAAAGATAGTAATTTGGTAAGATAATTTCCCGTAACCCTTGAATTGGAGAAATTATTGACTGTACGCTTCATCAATTATTAGAGCTGGATATTAATACGATGGTTACAATAAAATCACGTCATTATATTAACAAACTAAATCAGATTTTTAAATCTCAATAATATAACTCATATTTGAAACTCTATCCAAACATGTTCAACTTAAGATGAAATAATGAAATTCACCAACTAATTCGGTTAGAAAAGAATGGATAGGAGGGGATAGTTAAATCCCATCCAATCTAATATTTAGACCAACCCCAACTGTAATTCAATTGATTTAGGGTTTCACAGTTTCTATGATATTAAGGTTGACGGATATATCTGTTCGCCAAATCTCAACTCTCTCTCTCTCTCTCGAACTAATTCATAGCATTTCTATGTCTCTTGTCATCAACCAATGCTTGGTTTTGTTAAGAAATATGGTTATTTTGAGAATCCCTACAAGCAAGATCTAGAATTACTCCTACTTCAGTATTGCAAGTCCCTAATTTAATTGCCCAGTAAGACCCCTTCTTTATATCTCTCATGTAAGCCAATAAAATGCTATGTAAGTGAAATTATGGGTCACAAAAGAAATCAACATATGAAAGAGAGCATGCCAGAGCTTCTCTATTTTATATTCAAGGTAAAATACATCTTATTATGGCATAACCACCACTATTTGAACTATCTTATCACAACATAACTAGTACATAGCTGAACCTCTTATTATGGCGTAGAAGAAAGTTTGAGTACACGAGTCTTCTACTCCTGCAGAGTCTTGAGAGCGTAAATGTACGAAAGTCCGACTTATTTTGTGTGCAGAGATACAAATGTCGTCATTCTTATTTGACACCAAACTTGGTGTAAAACTCAAACAAAGAGAAAGGGTTTGACGCCGAAATTGGGCACCCAGAGGGAAAAAGTTCCCTTGACAAAATCGTAGTATCCACCCATCAGTAGCAAAGCTTTGTTCGCCAATCCATCTCGCACATATGGATAAGTAAGTAGGTTTTCCAGAGACAAGTTCACAGCCTCCTGCAATCAGATTATTGACAATATTCTCAGCTTCAACTTACTTCTCTCCTTTAAAAGGAAATAATGCAACTTTTTTAAGAAAAACCTTGAGCAAATGTACGTGGTTAACGACACTATGTTATAAATCTCGTATATCGAACAAATCTGTCACAACTCGCAAGTAACAACCTCATTAAAACATTATCGACCATTTAATATCATTTTTTATTCTTTTTCAAAAATTTAAAATAATGGTTGTTTTGGTTTTAAGCTTTTTCCTTATTTGGGTTAGCTCGTTTCTTTATTTAAAAATATGTATGATAGTTCACATATATGTATAAAAGTACATAATTTATATAATAAGATGGATGTCGATCACTTTTACGAAATAATAATCAAACATATTTTTGATTTGCTGACAAAATTACTTTTATTTTCTTAAGTAGAAGTACTTGAAAAACATTATCAAACTTTATATAACTCTTCTATTTGTTTGTGTGTTCTTTTTTTTTTTTTTTTGTTCAACGAGTAATGTCCGAGTCAGCTTAGATGCACCTTGACTAATCTTTTTCTCGGTCCGATCAGAAACAGGTCATTCATACATGGATTAAGGTATTCATGAGTGATAACAAAAAAAGACTCACCCTTTCACAAATGGCAATCTGTTCCTCAAATGGTAAATTCCCAAACTCAGCCTTCACCTTGGCCTTGGCAGGCAAACCGATTTGAACCCAATCGTCAATGAAGTCACTGCACATCAGAATTAAAGAGAAGTACAACTTATTAGTAGGCTAATGTGAAAATACAAAAAGTAAAAAATGTTAAAGTACACTAATGGTCCCTCAAGTTTGTGACTTGTGTGTCCGTTTTCTTCCTAACATCATTCTAATTTTGTAAATATCATCATCAGAGTTTTACATGCTACACCAATGTCCTCCTTTGCCCCAACAGTCATTAAAATTAAAGACGCAAAAACGCATGTGCACGTGTGACAGATAGAAATTCGGTCCACGTATGTGTCGCATTCGTGCTATATATAGATATACGTATGCGTTTTCTGTCTCTAATTTGAATAATTGTTAGGATGGAAGATCAAATTGGTCCGATTTGTGAACGAGAAGCAAATTGAGAAAAATTAAATTTTAAGAATAAGAACCAAGGTGACACTCATAGAAAAAAAAAATCTCTTGGGGACCATGGGATAAATGTTCATTAATATTTATCAGAAATGTTATAAATTTCTAAGCCAAGCCACAGTGTATGGATTAAAACTCACATGTACCAGGTTGCACAACAATAACTTAAAATAAAATAATAAAATGTGTGTGAATTAGCCTTACAAAGAAGTTGATCCATCTTCAGGATGAGACATTAGCCTGTTTATTCCCCCACATCGACTGTGTCCAATCACCAAAATAATTTCAACCTATGGAATTATCCCATTGGTTAAGGCCCTTGTATGAAATAGAATGGAGAAGAAATTTTTTATATGTTAGAACTTGGAGGAGTTCAAAATGACCTTGAGTTCTGCAACTGCATATTCAATGACAGCTCCAACTCCAGAATACCTAACCTGAGTTCAACTAATCAGGATTAGTGTCAATCAAGTCGTGTTGTACCATATTTTATAGAAAGTAATGATTCCAGCCAAATCAAGGAACAAAATCAGGCCTTAAACAAAGGGATAGCATATCAATCACAAAGATTAGATCATGACACAAATAAAGAGCAGATCAAACAGCAAGTCATGTGACAATAGATTAGTCATTATCTCCCTGAATTTCTCTGGATTTTATATTCTTTCCATTCTTCTCTTTAGAAGCAGTTTGTTTGAATTTCAAATGGTTTTCTTCCTTATATTATGTCCATTGTATTCCTTGTACAAAGAGAAGAGATTTCATTCTCTAGTTGTAAGAAAAATCATAATATTCAGAGATTCCATATAGTTAAGTAGCATTTTTTGTGGGTCGAATTATCTCTAAGTCATATGAGTGGCGGAACAACATGAGGACCAGAGGGGGCATGGCCTCACCCTGAATTTTTTTTTAAAAAAAAATATTATTTATGTATATTTAAAATTATTAGAAGTATACTTAAAGGTGTTCACTCTATTATTTTTTATTCTATCAATTAATATAGTCATATAACTAAATAATTATTAATTTTTTGACATACTTTGAACACTTTATGGATACATTTAGATATATTTTTGATTTATCAAACTCACTTTTAAAAGTTATAGATATTATGAAAATTAGGTTAAATAAAATAATGAGTGATCTTTGGGTAATAGTCTAATTGGTTATATAGAGAAAGACTGTAGCATCTTTTATACAGTTAGTCTCATTTATTGTGTAGGGTTGTAATTAGCTTCTTTTTTTTTTATTTGTTTACACTATATTTATTAATGTTTGATAATTTTTATATTTTTTGAATTTTTAAGTATCAAATACAATTCCATAAATTTAAATATATTATTTTATTTCCAAGTAAACCCATCCTAGACATAATTTCTAGCTCCGCCTCTAGTTATATCCTTTTGAGCTTGTGTGTCATGTGTATTATCTTATTGTAATTAATATGTAATCTTGAAATTAAACTACGAGGACCCTATTTTCTCCCAACAAATATCTGCAATATTTAGGTTATTATAAGTTAAAAAATCCAAGTGATCACTAGCCTAGCAAAACCAAATATAAAAAATCATTTAATTTTATAATGGTGGGAGGCTAAAATATTAATTTGTTCCTAAGATAAAATAATTTCACACAATTTGAAGACCTGGTCGAATTGAGGAACCAAGTTAGCAATGTTCCGGGCCATGAAAGCTTCTCCTGGTCGAAAGCTTAGAATATTAGATGGACACACTCGTGAATCTGAGCATGCAAACACCAGAAACTGCAAAAGAGAAATTGGCCACAAAATTCACAAGTTAATTAAAGTAAATTTTTTTGACCCTATAATATATTAAAATCCCATTAACTGGGGTTTACAGATTTTGTTTTGTTAGAACGTCGAGAAAGTTCAAACTTGTGACCTTAAGGT